AGTTAAAACAAAGAGCCTAGATAAATACTGGCAGAAATTTCCTTAACACCTTTGAGTGGAAAATTTATGGATCTGGTTATTTTAGGGATTTAGATTATCTAAAGTAAATTCTTTTTTGGTGGGGGGTACCAGGTATTAAACCCAGGGGTGCTTAACTACTGAGCCACACCCCCAGCCCTTTTATTTTGAGACAGGGTCTTGCCAAGTTAATCAGGACCCCACTGAGTTGCTAAGGCTGGTTTTGAACCCATGGTCCTCCTGCTTTAGCCTCCTGAGTTACTGGGATTATAGGCATGTGCCACCATGTCTGGCCTAAAGTAAAATTTCTACAGTAAGGAAGAATGGGAATCTCTTGAAGATTATACATCAGGCCAGGTGCAGTGGCACATACCTGTAATCCCAGCAGTTGAGGAGGTTAAAGCAGGAGGATCCCAAGTTCAAAGCCAGACTTAGCAATTTAGTGAGATCCTGAGCAACTTGGTGAGAACTTGTCTTTAAAAAAAAAAAAAAAAAAAAAAAGTGTCTCCATCAGGATAAATTTCAGGATAAGAGAAAGTACAACGTTACTGATAAAAATACCATTTTTCACTAAAGTGTAGAAATGGTTACTTTGTGTCTAAGGAAAATGTATAAAGTGGAAAGTAAGAAAGGCCCTAAGACTACTAGAATTGTGTCAAAAGAAAAAAAGCACCTGAATGTTTGGTTTGGTTTTTTTATATTTATTTTTTAGTTGTAGTTGGACATAATACCTTTATTTTATTTATTTTTATGTGGTGCTGAGGATGGAACCCAGGGCCTCACACATGATAGGTGAGCACTCTATTGCTGAGCCACAACCCCAGCCCCACCTGAATGTGTTTTGTTTTTATATATTTTTTAGTTGTAGATAGACAAATACTTTTATTTTGCTTATTTATTTTTATGTGGTGCTGAGGATTGAGCCTAGGGGCCCCCACGGGCTAGGCAAATGTTTTTTTTTTTTTTTTAAAGAGAGAGAGAGAGGAGAGAGAGAGAGAGAGAGAGAGAGAGAGAGAGAGAATTTCCAACATTTATTTTTTAGTTCTCGGCGGACACAACATCATTGTTGGTATGTGGTGCTGAGGATCGAACCCGGGCCGCATGCATGCCAGGCGAGCGCGCTACCGCTTGAGCCACATCCCCAGCCCCTAGGCAAATGTTTTACCGCTGAGCCACAACCTCAGCCCCCTGAATGGTTTTTTTTTTTTAAATTTTTTTTTAGTTGTTGATGGGCCTTTATTTTATTTATTTATATGAAATGCTGAGAATCAAACCCAGTGCCTCACACATGCGAGGCAAGTGCTCTACCACGGAGCTACAACCCCAGCCCTACCTGAATGTCTGATGAGACAATATAAACATTTTAAAAAGGACAATGACTATGATGGGTTAAAACAAATCAGATATTTGGGCTGGGTCTGTAGCTCAATGGTGGAGTGCTTGCCTCCATTTGTGAGGCACTGGGTTTGATTCTTAGCACTGCATAAAAATAAAATAAAGGCATGTTATCCATCTACAACTAAAAACTATCAGATAGTTTAAAAATTTGTACACTTATGATAATACTGCACCTTCTCCTGGGAAAAACACTCACATTGGTTACAGTTACAGGTTGCTGGGGATTGAACCCCAGGGGTGCTTAACCACTGAGCCACATCCCAGCCCTTTATTCTTTTTAAATTCGAGACAGGGTCTCCCTAAATTGTTGAGGTTAGCTTTTAACTTGAGATCCTCCTTCCTCAGCTTCCTGAGCTACTGGATTATGGGCGAGTGCCACCACATGCAGTGACTCATTTAATGGCATGAACAACAACAAAAAGATCACAGGCATGCTTAGCAGTGCCCAGCTGTGCTAATGCTATTTTTAAAGTCCTTATCTGTTGGAGACATATACTGAAGTATTTATAGGTGAAATATGGTCCTTGTCCCAGGTATAAATCCAATAACAAGGATGAGGTTTTGAGAAAAAAATTAATTTTATTGATTTTTTTTTAAAGAGAGAGAGAGGAGAGAGAAAGAATTTTTAATATTTATTTATTTATTTTAGTTTTCGGCAGACACAACATCTTTGTTTGTATGTGGTGCTGAGGATCGAACCCGGGCCGCACGCATGCCAGTCGAGAGCGCTACCGCTTGAGCCACATCCTCAGCCCAATTTTATTGATTTGCTAGCAAGAGAAGGCAAAGGATTCATGTCACAAAGGCTGCCTGCCATTCTAATTGCTAGGGGGAAACAAAGGGCTTTAAAAAGGGGGATACAAGAGCTGTTTTCCAAGTAACTTTATCAGTAGATCTAATTAATGTTCAACTTACATCCATATGACTGCTCTTATTCCAGTTTCCAGGTCTGGACTCTTTTATTCTTGTGGGTAGTGAGCATAAGCATAACTCAGTTTAGAACAGGAAGAAGGTTAACTTTACCTCCCCCTTAATTAAGGAAGGGAAGAAGAAAAAAACATCAATTTTCAAATAAACCACCAGTGATTAAGCAGCAAGGTTTATAGTAAAAGCATGAAATGGACTTTCTTTACAAGAAAGGCACCCCTTTCTTGTAAATGATTTGCTATAATATAATTCAGAGGGAAAATGCCCAGATAGATGATACAAGAAAGGCAAAAAGTTGTTGTTGAAGCTAAATAATCAGTATATGAAAGTTCATTGTCACTATCTACTTGTGTGAAAATTCTCTTTGTAAAACAAAGTGCCAACCTTCTTTGTGCCCAAGAAGTAACTTCCTGGTTTTTCATTTTCCTCTGTATACAAGTGAAGCCAGATTTAAAGTTAGGTAGTCAGTGTAGTTAGGTAAATCGGGTCTAACATCGAGTGAAATCTAAGATGGAGGCCATGCTGGGAATGACTCAGGGAAAACAGGACAACTCATGGAATGTTAATGAAGTTCTGAAAAGGCCCTAGGCCAAAGTCCACCTGGAAGAAGTGTTAATGAACAGCCCCCAACAGATTTGGAGATAGCCCATTCCAGAGAAGTGATAAGCCCATCTCAAAAGTCCTTCCTGCCCTTTTGGCCCACCGGTGTCCCACCCCTCGGGCCCTCCAACCTACATTCCATCACCAAACCTATAAAAAGAGGAACACATTGCCCGCTAACTGGATTCCACCTTTTGGGTCCCCTTCTTCCTCGGGAGAAGTCTTTTCTTCTGTCCTTTAATAAATCTCTAATCTCTACTCTGACCTTGCGTGCTTCTTTGGTGTTATTCTTCAACATCTGGGAGCAAGAACTCGTCACCGGTCAACAGCGGTAACACAAGCAGGATGCTCTGTCATTCCACAGGATCCTACTCATTCCAATTACTTCTCTTTTCCTGTTTTCTTAATCCAGATTTTCAGGGCCATCTTGCACCTTCCTCCACCCCCACCCCCACCCCCATCCCCAGAATGAGGCAGGATGCTGTGAAATGAGCTAGCAAGAATTCACCTGCTTCTTCCTCTCTGCCCTCTTCCTCTTCTTTCTCTCCTCTCTCTGCTCTTGTCTCTTCTCTCTGCCTCTCCTTTTCTTCTCCTTCAGGCAGCCCCCCAATAAACCAAAGCTTGCAAGCTCTCTGCCTTCTTCCTCTCTGCCCTGTTCCTTTTCTTTCTCTCCTCTCTCTGCCTCTCCATTTCTTCCTCTTCGGGCAGCCCCCCAATAAAATCTCTTGGTTGAAAAAAAAAAAAAAAGAATTCACCTGGAAGTCAAGTAACTTAAGCCTGGAGAGTGTCCCCACCGGAAAGGCTGAATGCTGGTTTACACCATGCTTTGTTGTGTATTCCATTAGAGAAAAGATAAGCTAAGTGCTAATATCTAAAAGCCAGGAGATTTTCATGTCACAGCCAAACCTGCAGTTTCTTACTGTAGGGAGACTCACAGGACTTTGAGAGTGTCTACTCAGTCTCATTTTTTTCCTTGAACCGGCTCCACTGAGCCACATCCTAAGTACTTTATTATTAGTAGTAGTAGTAGTATTGTTGCTATTATTATTACTATTATTATTATTTTATTTTGAGACAGGGTCTCGCTAAATTGCTTAGGGCCTAGTTAAGTGGCTGAGGCTAGTATTGAATTTGCAATCCTCCTGCATCAGCCTCCCGAGTCTCTGGGATCACAGACATGCGCCACCTCCTTGGCCGCTCAATCACATTCTTAAGAGGTGAACCGGTGGCAGCAAAAACACCAGTTACCCCAAGAAAGACATCCCGGGATCTTGCCTTTTTGGTATAGAAGGCACGGAGAGCCCACATCGGGAACACCACACGCACGAATGAAACCATGGGAGTCACCTGGCTAGTTTGGGCGCGGTCCCACGTCCCCACCGAGCCCCAGGACCCATAAGAACCCCACTCAGGCACCTTCTTCCACTCCATCAGGGTGGGACAGCAGATAGGAACAGAGAGCGATGCAGAGAGGGGGTACTCTGCAGAGACAGTCGCGCTTTCTTGCCGTGCACGAGGTGAGGAGGTTCGGGTAGCCTGGCCCGGTGGCGCACATTTGTAAATCCCAGTACTTCCGGCAGGCTGAGGCAAGAGGATCGCGAATTCAAAGCCAGCCTCAGCAACTTAGCGAGGCCCTGTCTCTAAACAAAATCAAAAAGGGCTGAGGATGTAACTCAGTGGTTAAGTGCCCCTTGGTTCAATTCTTCCAACCAAAAATAAAAAAAAAAACAAACAAAGTTTGGAGGGACTGTACAATCTAGACTGCGGGCGGGAGCCACCGCGCAGGCGCTTTTTAGCTGGGACAGCACACTGATGTTGAGAGGCACAAATTGTGTTCAGCCGACAGAGTTAGGTGGAATTGCGCAGGCGCAGAGCGGTAAGCGTCCCTAAGGGTACCGAGGACAGAAAGGGGACGGAGAAATAGGAGATGGACGTCACTGCGCAGGCGCTCTCTGTCTCGCTGTGTGGCGTCGCCTGGGCCGCGCGCAAGCGCAGAGCGATCCGCAAACGTGCGCACGCGCGCGGGTATCAGGCTCGATGGCAGGTGTCGTGGGTAGGGGCCTGCCGGCTATGGGGCGACCGGCGTTGCTGTTGCTCGTGATGTGTGCTGCCGGCGCTCAGGGGCTCTACTTCCACATCGGCGAGACCGAGAAGCGTTGCTTCATCGAGGAAATCCCCGACGAGACCATGGTCATCGGTCAGGCGGGCTGAGGGTGGAGAGGCCCTTTGTTTTCGCCCGGCCCTCGGAAGTGCCCCTCCTCCCGAGCTTGGCCAGGTCATACCCCCAGACCTGGCCTGTGGGTGCCCCGAGGACGCCAGGCCCCCTGCCCAGCGCCCCGGGCCACACGTCTGGGGGCCAGGTCATGACTGTGTGTATGCCCTGCAGGCAACTATCGAACCCAGATGTGGGACAAGCAGAAGGAGGTTTTCCTTCCCTCGACCCCTGGCCTGGGCATGCATGTGGAGGTGAAGGACCCCGACGGTAAGGTAAGGTCACCGCTAGCAGGGCTTTTAGCGGTGTCAGTCGTTCGTTCATCAGCGTTCCAGGGGGGATGTAAGGTGCCTCCTTGGTCCTGAATCAAGGTCCTAGGGCAAAGGAGCTTGCCCCTTGAGAAGTCACGGTAAAGATTGGACTTTCATTGATCCATGTTGCAGGTGGTACTGTCCCGACAGTATGGCTCCGAGGGCCGTTTCACGTTCACCTCCCACACCCCCGGTGAACATCAGATTTGTCTGCACTCCAATTCCACTAGAATGGCCCTCTTCGCCGGTGGCAAACTGGTAAGAGGATTTCTGATCTGTTCCCATAGTCGTTTGTGACACTGTTGCAACGTTAGAGTTGGGAATACAGATGTTACCCTCCTGCCACAGCCATGGACAAGAGTGGATCCCATAGCCTGGAACACAAATGGTTTTGAGGCTCCACCACTCAGACACCCTGTGTTCCCTTGTAGCGTGTGCACCTAGACATCCAGGTCGGGGAGCATGCCAACAACTATCCTGAGATTGCAGCTAAGGATAAGCTGACGGAACTGCAGCTCCGTGCTCGGCAGTTGCTTGATCAAGTGGAACAGATCCAGAAGGAGCAGGATTACCAGAGGGTAAGGGCCTTTTGTACTTGGAGATTATATCTACTTGAAGTTTCTGCTTTCTGTACTTGGGAGACCAACTTTTCTGAGAATGGAATGGAGGATATCAGTCTAGATAGCTCCCCAGGTTGTTTTCACTTTTTTTTTGTTTTGTTTTTTTGTTTTTGTTAGTGCTCGGGTTTGAACCCAGGGTCTCACCTGCACGTTAGGCAAGCACTTTGCCACTGAGCCACACCCTCTTCACTTTTTAAATTGTGATAAAATACACATAATGTAAAACATCATTTTAATTGTTTCTAAGTGTGTAGTTCCATGGCATTGAGTAGATTCACATTGGCTAGGTGTGGTGCACATGCCTATAATCCCAGCTAATTGGGAAGCTATGGCAAGAGGCTCACAAGTTCATGGACAATCTGGGCAACTTGGCAAGACCCTGTCTCAAAAAATAAAAAGGACAAGATAATACAAATGGAAGAAATGATTTACAGTAGAAGGGGTAGAGAGGGAAAAGGGGAGGGGAGGGAGGGGAGGGGAGGGGGGATAGTAGAGAATAGGACTGACAGCAGAATACATCAGACACTAGAAAAGCAATATGTCAATCAATGGAAGGGTAACTGATGTGATACAGCAATCTGTATACGGGGTAAAGTTGGGAGTTCATAACCCACTTGAATCAAACTGTGAAAGATGATGTATTAAGAACTGTGTAATGTTTTGAACGACCAACAATAAAAAAAAAAAAGGGGGGCTGAGGATGTAGCTCAGTGTTAAGACACCCCTGGGTTCAGTCCCTGTACCACCAAAAAATAGATTCATATTATTGTGCAACCATCATCACAATCCATCTCCAGAACTCTCCAGAGTTAGTATTTAAAGGTAGATTTTCACCTTCCAAAACAGAAGATCTGTACCTATTAAATACTAACTCAGGCTGGGGATATAGCTCAGTTGCCAGAGTTTGCCTTGCATGTACAAGGCCCTGGGTTCAAACCCCAGCACGACCAAAAAACTAAACAAAAACCAAATTACCCATTTCCCTCCCCAGTTCCTGTTCTATTTTGTCTATGCTCCTGATTGTTCTAATTCAAATAAGGGGAATCATAGCGTATTCTTCCTTTTGTGACTGTCTTATGAGATATCCAAGGTTCAGATATGTTGTAGCATTGTCAGAATTTCTTTCCTTCTTAAACTTTAATAATATTCAATTGCATATATGACCCAATTTTGCTTTTTTGGGAGGGGGTGTGGTACTAGGGATTGAACCCAGGGCTTCACATGTGCTCAGCAAGTATTCAACTACTGAGTTCCATCCCCAGCCTTTTAGTTTAACAGGGCCTCAATAAGTTACCCATGCTGGCCTTGAGTTTGTGATCCTCCTGCCTCAGTTTTCTGAGTCGCTAGGATTAAAGGCATATGCCACCTTGCCTGGGTCCCTTTTGCTTTAGTTGCCTTTTTATTTTTTTGGTACCAGGGATTGAACACAGCCATGCTTTACCACTAAGCCACATCCCACCCACCCACCCTTTTTGGGGCTGGGTACCAGGTATTGAACTCAGGGGCACTTGGCCACTGAGCCATATCCCCAGTCCTATTTTGAATTGTATTTAGAGACAGGGTCTCACTGGGTTGCTTAGCACATTGCCATTGCTGAGGCTGGTTTTGAACCTGTTATCCTCCTGTCTCAGCTTCCTGAGATGCTGGGATTACAGGCTTGTGCCACTGAGCCCAGCTTCCCCAGCTCCTTTTTTAAAAATATATTTTATTTAGGGTCAAGATCTTGCTGAGTAGCTTAGGACCTTGTAAAAGGAGCATGATTTCAGTCCCAGCAGAGATGTTTGTGGAGGCAACAGCACTGTTCCTTCCTTAAGACAGTTTTTATGTATGGGGAGACTGTGGCACCCCTAATGGAATCACAGGTGATATTCCAGAAAGTATTTGGTCCTGGAATTAAGCAGTCACTGACACGGAGGGACCTCACAATTTTCAGGATAATTTCTCCTGCTCGTTTAACCTTGTGTCTGTTACCCCATGCAGTATCGTGAAGAACGCTTCCGTCTGACCAGTGAGAGTACCAACCAGAGGGTCCTGTGGTGGTCCATCGCTCAGACAGTCATCCTTATCCTTACTGGCATTTGGCAGATGCGTCATCTCAAGAGCTTCTTTGAGGCCAAGAAGCTGGTGTAGTGTCCTCTCCGTATGACCCTTTTTACTTTAGTTCTTTGGTACTTTCTCCAGCCAATCCCTTAACCACCTGGATTTTGAGGGGGAAAAAATGCAAAAGAATATGACATGTTGGTACTATGGCAACAAACCATTCTGATCAGTAACTTGTTTAACCTTGATTCTCATGGACACAGGACATTGGTCCAAGATTTCAAATTCTATTTTAGGGCTTATAAGGAATTGAAACTAATACAAGACAAGTCTTCTCTTTTGCCTCCAGTGATTCCCCTGTCCTCCAAAAAATGAGCAAATGACCTTCTGTTTTTTCTTCATCTGATTACACAGCAGGTGACTGGCATACCCCACAAAGGAGGCCTTGCCTCACTGTTCCTTAGCCAGTTACTTGGTTCACTCAATGGCTTTGTGAATGTAAATAAGGGGCAGGTCTTGGCCCCAGAGGATCGAGATGTTTTTCTATATATTAGAACTATTTTTTGATAAATTATATATTTTCCTTCCTAGTTGAAGTGTTACCGCCTGTAACTGGCTGAAAACACCAATCTAGTCCTTGTGCATTCTGTTTATTCACACGTTTTTATAACTGCCATGGCAGCTCTTAGGATTTCAGCAGTCTGTGGGCCAGAAGCAGATGTTAACAGCTGCTCTCAAGGCCATATTAGAAGGCCTAGCAGAATTCTCTTGGACACCTGTGATTCCCATCTGATAGGGCCTCAGAGTCAGGTAAGACAGTGAAAGAGCCAGTATGGACAGTGCACTCTTATCCCCCCTCTTCCCAATTTATTTAAGCTGTGGTAATGTTTTCTTCAAGGGAACGAAATTTGATTCGTTATTCAGATTTTTCCAATTAAATAAAACGTCTTACAGTAGTTGTGTTTGAGATAAAATAAGAGGTTGTGGGCAGAGGAGAAGCAAAAAGGGAAAGAGGAAAAATTCTTGGTCACCCAGGGTGGGTGATCTGGCATGGACCTTAGTGTGGACTGTGTTAGGGCTTGGCTTGGATAGACCTCTTTCTGGTAAACTAAGAGTGGACAGAGTGGTTGTTTAACCATTCTCAGGCTGACCAAGTGGAGAACATTTCAGCAAGGACATGTGAGGAAACTTATGTACTTGGTTTCTTAGCCCCTGAGTCATAAATTTGAACAGCTAATGATGCCCTTCTTCTGTATAAAAACTTTATTATTAGTTGCCCATTCCTGACATTTTATTTCATAATTTTATTATAAATATATTTGGAATATTATTTATTAAATTACTTTATCTGACCTACAGAACTAAATTCTTCCCTTGTTATTTTTCTTTGTGCCCCACACTATTCAATAGTTATTTAGTTTTATTCTTTAAAAAAAAAATTGACATAATCTAATTCTGGGTGCCACATAATATAGTCCAGTGAAAATTCTTCAGATTTTTAAAACAGCTTTTCAGTTTCCATGTTAGAATTAACACAAGGGAACTTGCAAGCCTCCTGCCTAAGCCTCCTGAGCCACTGGGATTACAGTGTGCCACCGCACCTGACTCTTCTCTCCTATTTTACCAGGAAAAAGAAAGTGTGGGTTGGGAGCACACATTCTTAACACTCACTGTTATCCTAGCCTGGTTCCCCTTATGTTAAGCAGTACCTATCTTCAACATTTGGTCTCAGCCTCGGGTACTTGTGATACATAAACTATTCTCAACAACCTGTTGTCTCTGGTATTCAAATGTTGGGTCAGGGGAGCTAGATGCACAGAATGACCCTGGAAGCTCAAGGTATACTCCTGGGAAATGCTAAGATCCAATATGATTTATCAGGTTTGTATTTGGGTGTAATGATAGGCAGAATAATGGCCCCCCAAATGTGTCTATGTCCTAGTTCTAGAAATCTGTGACCGTTAACCCATCAATTAAGGTTGTAAATCAGATGATTTTAAAATAGGAAGATTATCCTGGGCCATTTGGGTGAACCTAATATGAACACAAAAGTCTGATGACTTGTAAATAATCCATCCCTGGCCACTTGGGCAGTTTGTCTTGTCAGTTTGTCTTGTCACCCCATTTCCATCTACAAAGCCAACCCTAGTGGGTTGAGTCTTAGAATCTTATCTGCAGCTTACCTCTTCTATTTTTATTTATTTTTGGTACCGGGGATTGAAGCCAGGGGCACTTCACCTCCCCCCCCTTTTTTAGGTGTAGATAGACACAACACAATGCATTTATTTTTATGGGTGCTGAGGATGGAACCGGGGTCCCGCCCTGCTAGGTGAGCACTCTACCTCTGAGCCACAATCCCAGCCCCTCACCCATTTTTGAAAAATTCTTTAAGGGGCTGGGGTTGTGGCTCAGAGGTAGAGCATTTGCCTGGCATGCATGAGGCACTGGGTTCAATCCTCAGCACCACATAAAGATATTGTGTCCACCTGTAACTAAAAGAAATAAGGAACTTTTAAAATTGTAGATGGACACAATACGTTTATTTGTATGTGGTGCTGAGGATCAAACCCACTGCCTCATGTGCTAGGCTAGCGCTCTACCACTAAGCTACAACCTCTGCCTCCCATCCCTTTTAGAGACAGGGTCTCACTAAATTGCCTAGATCCTTGCTAAATTGCTGAGGCTGGCTCTCGTGGCTCAGCCTCCTCAGCTACTGGAATTACACGCATGCGCTACCTGGCCCGGCTTCTCACACAATTTTTTTGTCGTTACCAGGGACTGAACTCAGGGGCACTCGATCACTTAGCCACATCCACAGCCCTACTTTGTATTTTACAGAGGGTCACTAAGTTGCTTAGCGCTTGGCTAAATTACTGAAGCTGGCTTGAACTCGAGATCCTTCTGCCTGGGCTTCCCGAGCCGCTGGGATTACAGGCGTGAGCCATCCCGCCAGGCCTCTCCCACTTTTAAATCTCCTTGTGGTAAGGCTTCTTGTCTCTGCTTGTATTCGTTTCCTACTGCTGCTGTAACAAATTATCACAAACGGAGTGACTTTAAACAACAAACGTTATCTTGATATCGCTGAAGGTCAAAAGTCCGGTACCTTGATTTTAACCCCGTGAAACTAGTGTTAAACTAGTGATTCATAGAACTGTAAGCTATCAAGAGCCTGATGACAGCCAGGTCTGGGATCTCCAGACCACCGCCCTTCCCGAGCGCTACTGCAGTGATCTGCCCGCAGCCCGTCAACTGGCCTCAGTGGCTCCGCGAAGACTGCTGCGCCACACTAAGGCTGGATTCTAACAGCACCCAAGCGGAGAAAGTCTCTCTAACGCTACTCCTGAAAGTCGCGAGAGCTAGAAAGTGCAGAAAAAAAATCCGGGTGAGCGTTTGCGTCTCGAGATTCGAGACGACAGCAACCAGCAGACCTACTTCTGACCTCCCCCCAACACCGGAAACCTGAGAGACGGGACTTCCGGAAAGTGGCGGTTTCTCTGAGCTTGATTGGTTGTTGCTTTGAGTCGCCCCGCCCGTGTCCTTGCTTTCTTCCTGCTGCGCGTGCTCCTTGTCAGTCCCGAACCACACCATGGCGGACCCAGAGTCCTTGGGCTTTGAACACATGGGCCTGGATCCCCGGCTCTTGCAGGTACCGGGGAGGGCTGGGAACCCGAGAATCCGGCTTAAGGGCTCTCAGGGCACTCCACTGCCCTCCGCACCGCTTGAACTGCACTCTTCGACTGTCTTTCTTAGGCTGTCGCCGATCTGGGATGGTCGCGACCTACGTTGATTCAAGAAAAGGCTATCCCGCTGGCCCTAGAGGGGAAAGACCTACTGGCCCGGGCCCGCACTGGTTCCGGGAAGACAGCTGCTTATGCTATTCCGATGCTACAGCTGCTGCTCCACAGGAAGACGGTGGGTAGTCGGAGGCCGGACGGGAGGCTGGGAAGGGAGGTCCCAGTTCGTAGGAGGCTTTCTCTTGGATCATAGAATCAGTCGGGTCCCATTGTTGAAAACGTCCTGGGTTGGGCTTTAGGTTACCTGGATCCTAATCCAGGACGTGCTGCCTCTCCACTAGCTTGGTGTAATCTTGTAATAAGATTACAGTCACTTTCTTTCCTTTCCTCAATGAAAAGGGGCCAGGCACATCTTCTACTTACAGAGTTATTGTGAGAGTACAGGCTCATACCTAGCGTTCATAACTTCATAACAACCAGTAACTTCATTACACACAGAGGAAGTTATTTTCTTCTGTCAGCACCCAGGGAAAGCCCTCCATTTTATTTTCTGAGGTGGGCAGAATGAGGGGATGATCAGAACACAGGTTGTTCTATGGACAGGATTGTGGTTGGACCAGATTGCCTGGAAAAGAGAGAAAAGCATTGGTTGGATCCATTGATATTCACTGCTGGCTATAACCTGTAATTTATGGTCTTATAGACAGGTCCTGTGGTGGAACAGGCTGTAAGGGGAGTTGTCCTTGTTCCTACCAAGGAGCTAGCACGGCAAGCTCAGTCCATGATTCAGCAGCTGTCTGCCTACTGTTCTCGGGATGTGCGGGTGGCCAATGTCTCAGCTGCTGAAGACTCAGCTTCTCAGAGGTGAGTGAAAGGGAATGAAGCTACACAAAGATGTAGGATGGGTTTGTGTGTAGTAGGAGAGAGCACAGGTCCAGGGTGAAGTTCCAGCTGCCAAGTTCTTCTTGATACCCATTTCTTACTACCTGTAGAGCTGTACTGATGGAGAAGCCAGATGTAGTGGTGGGGACCCCATCCCGTATATTAAGCCACTTGCAACAAGACAACTTGAAACTGCGTGACTCCCTGGAGCTGCTGGTGGTGGATGAGGCTGATCTTATTTTTTCCTTTGGCTTTGAGGAAGAACTGAAGAGTCTACTCTGGTGAGGAAGAAATGGTGATGGTGGTGGTAGTGGTGTAATTTTCTACTGGAAATGTCTTTGAGTAGAGACCACATTTAGAGGTCCTTGGAGTAGGAGCCTGACTAGATTTTTTTCTTTCAGTCACTTGCCCCGGATTTACCAGGCTTTTCTCATGTCAGCTACATTTAATGAGGATATACAAGCATTAAAGGAACTGGTTCTACATAATCCGGTAAGGGATGCTGTGGGAATATCTGGAGCTGTAGACATGGGAACACTTGGAGGATTTGATGCTCCTTCTGAGGTCCTTTGGTGTTTTGGGTGGGACCATTGTCATTGGATATGTCATTCCTGGTCTGCGGCACTAAAAGACTGTCATCTAAAATTTACTAACATTGTGCTGGGGTTGTGGCTCAGTGGTAGAGTGCTTGCCTAGCATGTGTGAGGCACTGGGTTCGATTCTCAGCATTGCGTATAAATAAATAAAGGTTCATTGACATTTAAAATATTTTAAAATAAAAATCACAACATATTTCTGGGTGTCCCAGTTCAAACTATACTTTGTCTAAAAGACTAAGCAAGGTTCCTTCCTTACACCCTGCCTGCCCCCACCATCTGCTTTGAGTGGCAAAGCCAAAATTCTAAGGCCAAAACTTTCAATGTTATATTTTACCTTTCAGAAGATCTGAATTTTACCCTTCAGAAGACCTATTGCTGTAAGCTTTCCAAACTCGCTATTGTAATTTATCAATGTATCTTTCTTTGTCCTATGCATCATGTGCTTTATGGATTGTTTATTTTTTTCCCCCTTTCTGTATATCCCAAAGTTAGGGCACTTGAGTTTTTAGATTGCAAAACTACAGGAATTTTAGCATGCCAGAAATCCTTAAACATATCCATGCCCTGCACTAAAATGATGCTTTTGTTGGTGAGTTAATGGCCATAGAATATCTGGTTTTCGTCCTTACTACAGGCCTTTTCTCTCCTCAGGTTACCCTCAAGTTACAAGAGTCTCAGCTTCCAGGATCAGACCAGTTACAGCAGTTTCAGGTAGTCTGTGAGACTGAAGAAGACAAATTCTTGCTGCTGTATGCTCTGCTCAAGCTGTCGTTGATTCGGGGCAAGTCCCTGCTCTTTGTCAATACTCTAGAGCGGAGTTACCGGCTCCGTCTATTCCTGGAGCAGTTCAGCATCCCCACCTGTGTACTCAATGGAGAACTTCCCCTGCGCTCCAGGTTTGTCATGGCCCATTTCTTGGTGGAGATAAGTTGAAGATAGAGATGGAAAAAGGAACCAACTGATGTTCATGTTTCTTGAGTATATTAGTGGGGCTAGGCCTGAGCTTGACTGGTAGTTATTTCTGACAACTCTGGGATATTTATTGTTAATCCATTTTCATCTGAGGAAATTGAGGTACAAAGATTAAGGAGAAAGAGATTGAGAGGAGGACAGAATAGGAAAGGGCAGTCGTTATGATGATGGCCAGGGATGGAAGTGGGCCTCCCACACACGCTGCTGGCCTGATCCCACCTCTCGGTCTACAGGTGCCACATCATCTCACAGTTCAACCAAGGCTTCTATGACTGTGTCATAGCAACAGATGCTGAAGTCCTGGGGGCTCCAGCCAAGGGCAAGCGGCAGGGACGAGGGTCCAAAGGAAACAAGTGAGTTTGCATTTCTTTTCTGACCTCTTCTTCAGAGGTGCCTGTTTTTCAGCTTTTTGGAAGACTGAAGTTAAGAGTACACAGAGCAGGATGCCAGACATTCCAGATGTTGGTAGCATATCCCAGAGAGCTCCACTGGCCCTTGCTTAGCTACTTGAGTATGGAGAAGAGGAGTGTTTTAACCACCTTTCTTTTTTCCTCTGTGAGCAAAAGACCTAACCAGAAAAATTTAGAGAAGGAAAAGTTTATTTGGGGCTCATGGTTTTAGAGGTCTCAGTCCATAGAGAGCCAGCTCCATTCTTTGGAGCAGAACCACATGACAGAAGAGTGTGGTAGGTGAAAGCAGCTGGGAACATGGCACCCAGGAAGCAGAGAGAGAAAGCTTCTCTCTTCAGGGACAAAATGCATATCCAAAGGCATAACCCTAATGACCCATCTTTTCTAGCCACACCCTATTTTGCCTATAGTTACCATCCAGTCAGTCCTATCAGGGAATTAATGTATTAATTACGTTGATTCATATCCAATCATTTCACCTCTACACCTTCTTGCATTGTCTCTCACATGAGCTCTTGAAGGACACTTCATATCAAAATCGTAACAAGGAATAAAGGGCACCAAGGGTCAGACTGGGCTTGGGAAATTGGCATGTGCTATCCTACAGGGGAGACAGCCAGCCTGAAGTGCATGTCTTACAGGATGTATGTTTTTAAGGGAAAAACGGAAGTCCCCTAGTCTGTCCACTTGAAGAGTGAATTGTTCCAGAGGTAGTTCTCAATTCACTCTGTGGGGCAGAGAGTTCTGTCATTGCCCCAAAACTGAGATCAGGGCAATTGTTTGACCACATTTCAAAGCTTTAGGCTGATCCACAAGGCCACAACTCCTGAAATAGTTCTGATGTAGAATAGTCTTGCATATACCAGGGTCTTCTGGTCTTTAGGTTTTGCTTAGAGGGGGTTTTTTGGCTTAAGCTTGAGAATGCCCTCCCAGAGATGGGTCTAGCTGACATTGGGTTATTTTCACAGGGCCTCTGATCCAGAGTCAGGTGTGGCCCGGGGCATAGACTTCCACCATGTGTCTGCTGTGCTCAACTTTGATCTCCCCTCCACCCCGGAGGCCTACATCCATCGAGCTGGCAGGTAGGGGGGAATGTGGTGGGCCTGGCATCTAGGTGATGGTCATGCTGAAGGACTTGGGGTGGGCTGGATAGAGCTTAAATGCCAGAGATACATTTCAGCTAGGTCATCTCCCCTTGCAGGACAGCGCGAGCCAACAACCCAGGCATAGTTTTGACATTTGTGCTACCCACAGAGCAGTCATACTTGGGCAAGATCGAGGAACTTCTCTGTGGAGGTAAGAGTCCTGACTCTTATTGGTATGGGCCTGGGTGAGGACCAGGCTTCTCCCACAACAAACTCATAATAGTGACAATAGGCAGCTTCCACTGTTCATCCTCATCCTATCCTGTGTGACAGGTGCTATCTCCCTTTACAAATGAGTAAATATGTCCATTCAAAGTCAAGTTTACTAACAAATTAAAAACAAAGTCACATTTACTGTCTACCTCTTGACTGGTGAGTGTTTTAACGTACTGCTCTGACAGCTCATTCCAAGATACTAACTGTGACTGGACTGCTGTCCATGACCATCGTTGTGGGGGCCTTGTGGCCAGAGCAACTTTGGAAGAGGAAGGGAGAGTGGGCAGTGGGTCCTGGAACTGAGGGATGTGATGGCACATAGGACTTAGAAATATGCACTCCTGTCCATACCATCACTAGGCTGCTCATGAAACAGTGGAATTGTGTGTTTGGCCTCTCAGGGATCAGCCTCACCTCAGGGAGAAGGAGTAGGAAACTGCCAGTGAAGACCTTAAATGGACTCTGTCCTGAGTTCCTTTGCTGTCTCTTCCCCAGAGGGTGAGGCCCCGGTCCTGCTTCCCTACCAGTTCCGAATGGAGGAGATCGAGGGTTTCCGCTATCGATGCAGGGTGAGCTGGACTGGGGAGTGGCTGGGGCGGGCTATGATTGTGATAACAGGGATGACACCTATGGATGTACGCATCCAGGTGTGAGAAGGACTTGGGAAATCTCACCCATCTGATCACCAATGTCTGCCTACAGGATGCCATGCGCTCAGTGACTAAGCAGTCCATTCGGGAGGCAAGACTGAAAGAGATTAAGGAGGAACTTCTGCATTCAGAGAAACTTAAGGTAAGGATGGGGTGGGCAAACTTAGGAGAGTGCTTTGGATGCCGAGCTCTGAATGGTGAGAATCAGAGAACCGGGCTGTGTGTTGGCATTTGGTAGGGAGAGGAAAACTGGCCAAGAGATTTTGAAAGGAGCCAACCATTCTATTGGGAAGACAAATGGTACAACCTTATGGTGGACACTCAGTGTTTATTAGGATTTCAAGTTCTCTTCCTCTGGGCATATTAGTGAATGTGTATATTCCCATTCATCACATTATTTTTAGGGAGCCAGAAGATGGAAGGAGCCCCAGACTTCACTCCAGGGGGCTTACCAAATAAATGAAAGTGAAGCCTCAGCTGAAGCTCACACAGACATAAGAAACAATGAGGAGGCTATTTGTGTGTACCTAGGAATACTCTGTAAAATCATGCTAACTGAAAGAAAGCAGCACAGGGTGCTGCTGTGTGGTCAGAGAGGAGTAAGAGTGAACATGTAATGGACTCTTTGTCCACGTGCTAGGACTCAGGTGAATTTAAGGAACTAGCAACAGTAGCTGCCTCTGGGCAGGGAGGGTGATGCAAACAAAAATGGTAGGGAAACTTTTTTCACTGTGTCATCTCTTGTGCCTTATAAATTTTAAAACACATGGGTATATTGTCCTTTAAAAAGCTCTATTTGGTATAAACATTGATGTGGCTGTGTCCCTGTAGTATGTTGTTTTTAAGTTCTTTGGGTATAGACCAAGGAGAGGGATAGCTAGTCAAATGGTGGTTCCATTCCCAGTTTTCCAAGGAATCTCCATACTGTTTTACATATTGGCTGCCCCAATTTGAAGTCCCACCAGCAATGTATGAGTGTACCTTTTTCCCCACATCCTCTCCAACACTTACTGTTGTCTTCATAATAGGTGCCATTCTGACAGGAGTAGGATGAAATCTTAGAGTAGTTTGATTGGAACCAACCTAGATGCCCTTCAGTAGATGAATGGATTAAAAAATGTGGCATATATACACATGGAATATTATTCAGCAGTAAAAGAATAAAATCGTGGCATTTTCAGGTAAATTGATGGCATTGGAGAAGATAATGAAGTTAGCCAATCCCCAAAAAACAAATGCTGAATGTTTTCTCTGATATAAGGAGTCTGATTCGTAGTAGGGTAGGGAAGGGGAGCATGGGAGAAATAGATGAACTCTAGATAGGGCAGAGGGGTGGGAGGGGAAGGGAGGGGGCAGGGGGTTAGAAATGATGGTGGAATGTGATGAACATTATTATCCAAAGTACATGTATGAAGACATGAATTGGTGTGAATATACTTTATATACTACCAGAGATATGAAAAAATGTGCTTTATATGAGTAATATGAATTATAATGCATTCTGCTATCATGTATAAAAAGAAAATCAATAAAAAATTTTAAAGTTATAAAATATTACATTAAAATTATCAACTATAAAAAAACTCCATTTGGGGGGTTATGGCTCACTGGTAGAGCACTCGCCTAGCGCATTTGAGTCCCTGGGTTTCATCCTCAGCAACACATAAAAATAAATAGATAGATAACAAAAGTTAAAAAAAAAATTCATTTGGCCAGGTATGGTGGCATGCTTGTGCTCCCAGCTACTCAGGAGTCTGAGGTATGAAGATTGCTTGATCAGGAGTTCAGGAGCAGCATGGACAATATAGCAAGACACAGACTCCAACAAACAAACAAACAAAAATTGGCTGGTAGTAGAGTGCTTTCCTAATGTATACAGTGCTCTGGGTCTGATTCTCAAAACTCCCCACCCCCCGCAAAAATAAATTTAAAAACAAACCTCAAAACCTCAATGCTAAGTGAAAGAAAGTCACAAAGTCCGCAAAGTCACAAAAGATACTAACTCCGCCAAACTCTCTGCCCGATGTCAGACATACTTTGAAGACAATCCCAGGGATCTCCAGCTGCTGCGACATGACCTGCCCTTGCACCCTGCAGTCGTGAAACCTCACCTGGGCCATGTACCTGACTACTTGGGTGAGTGTCACTGAGGGATCAGGAGGCAGTGGGCTGGGGGACATGGCAGGGGTTCTGCCATTGTGTGACAGCTCCTGTGCTCGATGCTGGGGAAGCTTGTGGGACAGGCAAGTAACAGGACATAGAGATCCAGGTAGCACATCATGTATCAACACAAACAAGTACACAGTATATGTTCACACATGTAGACTTGCCCACTTCACCCCACAGGGTGTACTGTCTCCTTTGTGGAGATAAGAAAACAGGTAGTGCAGAGATGATGGCAGATCTAAGATTTGAGCCAGGCAGGCTTGCACAGCAGGGTGGAATGACAGAATGAGCTAGTAGTTGTTTGAATGGCTTTGTGTGCTGAAGAGAGTGAGCAGGTTTTGGGGAACATCCTGGGTGGGAGGCAAATCTTCCTATGCTGGAGCAGACTCTGGATTGTCAGGCACTGAAGTAATGGCTTGGACACCTGTGGAGTGTCTAGATAAGAGCAGATGACAGGGAGATAGACACTGCAGGGCAGAAACAGGAATGGAGAGCAGCCATTCATCCTGGCTGACCCTTCTCATCTCACATAAGCTTCTATTGTCCATGTGTGTATTTTTGATAATGAGAGTATATTATATGCTTAAATTGGGTTTAAGAAGAGTGGCAAGGATGTGCCATGGGCAACGAATATAGGCCCTCCCCATGCATGGGCTCTGGTCTGCCTGAACTGAAGCAAACTGGCAGGTGCCACAGTCTGGCTGGGCACAATTCAGGAGCCACTTGTCAAAAGAAACGAACTTTATTTTTAGAACCACACATGCCAAACAAAACAGCTCCTCAGGAAAAACCTTCAGAGCCCAACTGCCACCACGGGCTTCCCACAAGCCTCTCAAACTCCCCCACTCCTCCTGCTCTTGAGGCCGATTGGCTGGGTCGTGTGGGCGGAGCCAAAAAAAGTCCCCCAATGAGCAGCTCCGTGGTCTGAAAGAGCAGGGAAACAGCCCAATGAGCATCACCGCAGAGGAGCCAATCAGTTGGCAGCTGGAAGTTTGCTGGGGCCCCTTCGGGTGTGGCTCTCAACAGGCAGGTGTGATATTCCTGCCTTGGAAGTGGAAAGGCCTGAATGGTGGGAAAGGAAGGGCCTAGGAGAGATGGGAGCATGGAGATGCTAGAGGGAGGGGTAGAAGCCAGGCTTCCAAGGGATAGTGAGCTGGAGGAGACTCCAGCTGTGGTCTGAAATGCCAGGAGGGGAGGCCAGAGCTTTGACCTAAGGGGCCTGGTAGGAGCAAAGTCACTCGCCAAGAGGATGTGGCCAGGAGTCCAGAAGCCAGGGGAAAGTGGAAAGAATCAGTTGTGGCCTATCTGGGAGTTTAGGAGGAGGCCAGAGTAGTAGGTATGAGGGCAGGGTCAAGGTCAGGTTTGGGGACGGAAGCAGTAGGGGCTGGTGAATTTGTAGTAAGGGACATATGTGAAAAAATTATCCAGCCTTTTTAATTTTGGCTCAGTTTTCTTGACATTATTTTCCTTCCTCCTCCTTCCCACATACTAAGCACATATTCTACCACTAAGTTATATCCTAGCCCCTATTTTTTTTTTGTTACATGTTCATTGCAATGAATTTAAGAGTGATTTAGACAGTGAAAGTCTAAGGTGCTAACGTTCTCTGACCCAGTGCATATGTGATAATGAATAGCTGAAGACTCTTACTTGGATCAGAATTAAAGAATATGCTACAGAATTTTTGGGGGAGGGAATGCTGAGAAAGGGGGTGGGATAATACTGGGAAAGCTGGAGGGAGGACCAAGAGCCTCTCAGAGTAATGGAACCATGTTTCATGGGGTGGGGGTGGCTGTGGAGGCTGGTGTTTGTGGGTTGGGTGAGGATTCTGCTGAAGGCCTGCATCTCTTCCAGTCCCTCCTGCTCTTCGTGACCTAGTACGCCCTCATAAGAAGCGGAAGAAGCTGTCCTCCTGTAGGAAGGTTAAGGTATGTGCCCTGAGGGCTGTGGGGACAGCAACAGGACCCTTGCTCCACCTTGCCCCTTTGTTGTCACCAGGACATACAGATGCCTTGCCCTCAGGATAGGGAGAGTGCTCCCAAAAACTGGAGTGTGAGCTGGGGTTACCTCCCTGACTGTCACAGGCCCTGCTCTCTATCTTCAGTTGTCCTTTTTCCTCACAGTATCCATAGCAGCTTGTAGTATCATTGGCTTATGGCTGTAGGGGCTTTACCAAGTACCAGCACTGTCCATTTTGTGTCTGTGTTTGGATGATTGGTCTGATTCCTCCAACTAACTTGCTACTTTGCCCATGTAGAAAGTGAAGACCCAGAACCCACTGCACAACTTCAAGCACAGAGGAAGGAAATCCAGACCAACAGCCATGCCCTCCTAAGATTGCCTGGGCCTGAGTTCGAAGTGGATTGGGCTTCCTTGCCTGGATGGAGTGGGTTTCCCACACTTCATGTGCGCACACTCCTGTGCTTCCTAACTGGATAGACTGAACTCTGGGGACGCTCTGGACCCTCCAGATCTGCCAAGCTGCCATTTGCCCCTTAATAGAATAACAGTTCCAGCTGCCCCAGGTTGTGCCTCTGGGCATGTGGGAAGGGACTATTTCCCAAAACCTTGGAGGGTGGGAAACTTCAGAAAGTGGTGGTGCCTAGCTGCTGCTGCGTGCAATGCCTCACATGACCAGAAGATGTCAGTTGTGCAAAGCCAACTGCTAAGAAAAGCCTGTTCTGGTCCAGTTGGTTCAGCATGGGGCTAGGCCAGCCTAGAGCCTCTGCCCTGCTGCTGCAACCTTACCATGTGGTTCAGGCTGATAGATGTACCTGCAACCTAGGAGACAGATTTTCTTTACCACAAGCCTTGGATTGCCCCTTACCCAATGCACGCTCATTTAAATAGAGGAGAATGTTGCCCACCCCTCAGAGGATTCAGGGCAGCTATCTCCCTTTCCCCTTCCCAGATGATATCTCATGTGTCAGTTGTTGTCTGTATTTCAGATACACAAGTGGTAGTATAACATGCATACCTACTGCATCTCTTCCTGTGTCTTAACTTGAGTACCCAGCTGCATTCCCAGCCTGAAGGTTGGGCCTCTTAATTTCTGTTATCTGCTGGCTTCAGGGCTGGATTACTCTGCTTTTTACAGTGTTAACCTCATAGTTACCTGAAGCATCACAAGGGTAGGCTGGGGGCAGGTGACAAGGAGTGGGAACTGGGAGAAGTAGGGAAGTGTTGAATCTGAAACTGGGCTTTGGTTATGGTTAGGGTGTAGTGGTACAGGGTTTGCAGGATCTGAGCTTTGGGGTCTTCACAATCTCTGCCCTTCTGTTAACTCCTGAGGATTTCTAGGAAGTTAGGGTGTATGGCATAGGGACAGGCTGTTAGTGGGAGTAAGAGCCACCAGGGCAACACCACCGCATTCTTACAGCCTTACAGCTCAGATACATTTAGAAGGAAAAGCAGTCAGTGGAGCTGCAGATAAGAGCAATTCCATGAGCATCTTTTGGGAAATACATGACTGTCAGAACTGCAGAGCCCATATCATAGAAGGGGAGATAGGCGAAGAGTGCTTCTAGTGCTTTGGCCTAGTCTTCCTATTCTGCCTTATTGGGAATGCTGGGAATAGTGAGCTAATTTGGGTGTTGCAGCTACTCTGTGCTCTAAGATGATACATAACTGGTTCCTGTGGGTTTTGTCTCAGACCTTGTCACTTCATTCACTCTGCTAAGGGTGTATGTTCCAGAACCACCCTGGTGGAGAGAAGGTTGGGTTTCTCTAGTCAGAGATAAGATGGACAAGCATGGACCTGGCATTCTACTGTGTTCTTGTGTCAGGGTCTGGACCATAGCTGAGGGACTAGGTAAAGGCATGGTAATTGTCTGTTCATGTGTACATTCCTTCCTCCTAACTCAAAGTAGCCCTTGGGGTGGCTGTTTCCATGATCTGGATGAGGAAGTTACCTAATGAAGGTGAAGTCAATGGGCAATATTTGGACTCTGGCTTATCTGGCAGTGTAGGGCCAGTTGGCCTGGCTGCCCAACCTGGGGGAGTAACTGATGCTACTTATGTCTTTTACCATCTCAGGGGGGGTGCCATCAGGGATGCTTGTGCTTGTGCTGTGTTCTCTGATCTGCAACAGGCCTTGTGCTTTGTTGAGTCTGAATTAATTGATCGTGGCAGTGGAGAGAATAGAAAGGGGCCTTCTCCTTCCCGTGTCTTGAGTCTAGAGGGAAAATGTACAGGGCTCATTCAATACCCATATAACCCAGTCATGTCTGATGTCATGAAGAAATAAGGGCTTATCAAAGGATTTCCATTATTATTAAGTATAATTATAGTCTGCCAATGGGGGACTACCAATTTTTTCAAAAATGAAAAGGAGAAAAGAAAATCAGTCTCAGATTTCTGAATGAAGCCTTGGTCTTTAGCCTCACACGAATGTATCCAAAGTAGGACAGGATAGGCCTGGGATAAGGGTATATACAAGATGGACACATAAACCAGGGGCTACCCTAGGGCCAGGAGGCACTAAGTCATGTAGGCCTAGAAAGGAAGAAGAAGGCAGCACATACTTGAAGCCTCGGGCTTCAAGCAGAAAGATTGGGAGTTCAGTCTCATCTTTACTCTGGGCTAGCACAGTTTCATACACTCAAGCCTGAATGAGCCCCTGTATGTCTGGGCCATGTGCAAGGGTATAGAATTGGGTAAAGAAGAATGGTCTGTGTACATCGGAGTTTTATGGAGATCAGGAATCAAGTTGCACTGAATTCCAGTTGTCTCCACACACTAGGGCTTAAGCCATCTGTCTTGTCAGCACTTGAGCCTGTTGGGAGCAGGTACTCAGCTGGGAACAGGAGTGAAGGTAATGTATTAGGCAGTGCACATATATAAAGAGGGTGGGCAGCAATTCTGGTAAAGAGAACCACACGTGAATTCCCTGCAGGGAGGAAGTCTAGCACATTTTAAGATAAAAAGACCAGAGTAGTTGTCACAAAAGTATGTGACTTGATTTACTTTGGGAAATTCACAATTACATGTTAAAAAAGTACATGCATGGTGGTACATGCCTGTAACCCAGCAGCTCAGGAGGCTGAAGCAAGAGGATTGCAAATTCAATGCCATACTGTGTAGTTCTGTGAGGCCCTGTCTTCAAAAAGTAATAAAGATCTGGAGCTATAGCTCAGTTTCTGGGCTAGCACAGTTTCATACACGTAAGTAGAGTGAATTACCAGTAACACCCACACACCCTGCCACACAAAGTGAAAGGAACTAGGCAAGGTGGTGCATAACTGTAACAGCTGCTTGGGAGGCTAAGGCAGAAGAACTACAAGTTTGAGGCCATCCTGGGCAATTTTGTGAGACCCTGTTTCAAAATTTAAAAGAGTTAGGGCTGTAAGTCAGTGGTAGGGTACTTGCCTAGCATGTGCGAGATCCTGGGTGCAGTCTCCAGTAAGGGGGAGCACCTTGATCTAATAACCAAGGTGACTGTGATGATAACAGAAGGAGGGCAGGGTGTGCCTGGAAACCTCTGGACCCAGAGCATAGAAGGTTCTGATGCGTTTCTATATATATCCCAGTTAATTCTTTTTCCCCATCTGCTGAGGATAAATGACTCAGCTTTTGAGGAACTCATTGTGGAACTTGGCCTTCAAGGTTAGTGTCCTCAGGAGGCAATTTTGATAAAAAGTTATTTAGTCAGAAAGGTTCGATGGCTAAATGTCATCCTCTTTTCCCCCTCAAAAGTTAATTACCATGAGGTACACAGCTTTTGAAATGGACTGAGTGGCTTTATATCCACTTAGGACAGTCATTTTTCACAAGCCTATGAGAAGAAGTGGTCATTCATTTCAGAGGGTGAGGTGCCCTCATCAGTAGACCTGCTGTGTGCCAGGCACCATGCTGGGCAGATGTACACTGTTTATTCTCAAAACACCTTCAGAACTTGACAGATCTAGCCTGTCTGTTCACCCACCTGTCTGCCCACAAACCTGCCAAGAATCAGTAGAGTTGGTATAGAAAGCATCAAGGTCAAGGATGTCCAGCCAGGCACTTTGAGAGGTCTTCAAGTGAGAACCTCAAGAGCTGCTTCCACAGGTGGCAGCGTGCCATGCACATACCCTTGTGTGGGGGTGTAAAAATGCCCCTTGCAGTGCCCACTGAGGGCTGTTGTGGTACATACATGCATCACTGAAGCAGCCCAACTCTGTTCTGATACCTCCTGATTCTACTCTTGAGTGAGTCTTGATGCACCATCCCCCAAAATTCCCATGTACACTAAATTACATAAGAATCTTCTTAAAATGCAGGTGCTTGATCTGGAGGTCTAGGGTGGGATTCTGTATTTTCTGCTGGTCCTTAGACCACAATTTGAGATCCATCACACACATCCATTTTATAGGTTGGGCGAACTGAGGCTTAAATATTTTTTATATTTATTTTTTAGTTGTAGTTGGACACAATAACTTTTTATTTTTACGTGGTGCTGAGGATCGAACCCAGGGCCCCACGTGTGCTAGGTGCCCGCTCTACTGCTGAGCCACAACCCCAGCCCTTAGATTAAATATTTAGCTCAACACCATCATTCAACTGTGTGATGTGTGATGTGGGAAGCTTCTCAATCTGTTGGACTCCAGTCTGAAAAGGAATGGAAGACCCTAGTTCAGGACTGTTAGGGATTTCCCTGTCACTTCTCAGGGTAGCCAGGGGAAGTATGGACATGGAGGTAGATTCAAATTTCAGATCAATAGTGATCAGTTTGCCAGGTGTAGTAGCTCACACCTGTAATTCCAGCAACTCAGGAGAGTGAGGCAGGAGGATTACAAGTTTGAGGCCAGCCTCAGCAACTTAAAATTTTTTAAAAAATGAATAAAAAGGGCTGGGGATATGGCTCAGTGATAAAGCACCCCTGGGTTCAATCCCTGACAACCCCTACCCCACCCTCAAAAAAAAAAAAACACACACACACACACTTTAGGGATTGTAATAGGGATTGCATTGAATCTGTAGATAACTTTGGGTAGTATTGTCAATATTAGCAATATTAAAGTCTTCTAATCCATGACATGAAATTTCCATTTCTTTCTATCTTTAATTTCTTTTGGTGTTTTTGTAGTTTTCAGTGTACAGGTCTTTCATATTTGTTTAAATTTATTCCTAATTATTTGGTTCTTTTTGATGCTATAGTAAATGCAATTGTTTTCTTACTTTGCTGTTTGGACTGGTGATCATTGTTGGTATATAGAAATGCAACTGGTTTTTGTGTATTTTTTTGAATCCTGCAACTTAGTGAAAATCATTAATTATAGGATGTTTCAGCGGTTTTATAACTAAGATCATGTTATCTGCAACTAGAGATTATTTTATTTATTTTTTTGTAAATTTTTTTAAAAGAGAACTTTTTAATATTTATTTTTTAGTTTTTGGCGGACACAACATCTTTGTATGTGGTGCTGAGGATCGAACCCGGGCCACAGGCATGCCAGGCGAGCGCACTATCGCTTGAGTCACATCCCCAGCCCAAGATTATTTTATTTTGAGTCAGAGTCTCACTAAGTTATGTAGGGCCTCACTAAATTGCTGAGGCTGGCCTTGAACTTACAATCCTCCTGTCTCAGCCTCTTTTCTAATTTGGGTGCCTTTAATTTCTTTTTCTTGCCAAATTTCTCTGACTAGATATTCTAATACTATTTTGAATAGAAATGATGAAGTGGGCATTCTTGTCTTATTGGTAATCTTAGGAAGAGGACTTTCAGTCTTTCACCAGTAAGTATGATATTAGCTTTAGTTTTTTCCCCATCATATGTGCCCTCTATCATGCTGAGGAAGTTCCTTGTAGTCCTGGTTTTCTGAGTATTTTTTATTATGAAAATATGTTAGATTTTGTCAAATTTCTCTTCTGCATCAATTGAGATGATCATATATTTTTTTATGTTAATGTAGTGTATTACATAAATTGATTTCCTATGTTGAACTATTTTTATATCCCAGGAATAAATTCCACTTGTCATGGTGTGTAATCCTTTTAACGTGCTCTT